GGCCGAGGGCCGCAGGGCGGGACCCGCGCGCTGCGCGCTGCCCGGTGACGTCGCGGTGGGCACGCCCACGCCGTGGAACTTCCTCCCCGCGCAGCGTTCAAACGTGGCGCGGTCCAAGCCGCGGGCCGTGTTTCGGTCTGTGACTCGAGTGTCGCGGGTGCGCTCGAGTCCCGTCCAGCACAGTAGGCGCGCGGAGGCCCGCCGGCCCCGGGCGTGTTGGACTTGGGCGCTCGCGGGGCGGCCAGCGGGGCCGCGCCGTGCCGTCGGTGCTGCCGCACGGGGCCTGTGCCCTGGGGCGGGCTGTGCGTTTCTGCGGGCGCGCAGCGCTGATGCTTTCCCGAGGGCTGCTGTGCGGAGTGCCAGACAGGAGCGAGCGTTCCTCAGCCAGAGCCCTGTTCGGAGTGCCTTGCAGACTTGAGACCCTTCCCGCTACGCAGTCTTAGCGCCCTCCTTTGTAGCTGGAAACCTGGGCGCGGTCTGTCCGAGTCACTCGTGCTGGCAGGTGGTGGGCCCGGGTCTCAGCACAGGCAGCCTGGCCTCACACGCTGTGCTCTTTGCCTCTCGGCCGTGCTTCCTGCTGTTCTAGTGGGAGCCCTGTCACTTGTTTTTTGCTTGTTTATTTGTTTCTGTTTTTTTGTTGTTGTTGTTTTTAAAATAGATGTCATTTTAACGGACACCATAGTCTAGACCCTGAGAGGTATAAATTTAATAGAAAGTGGTTCCTGCTTCCAGTTATCCAGTTGGGAAGCCAACTGTATTCTTAAAATAATCAGAAAATTATGAAAATAATGATAGAAATGCAGTTTTATGTCAGCACTTCTTAACTAGAATTTTTAGACCATAAAGTAGACTTAGAAGTGCTAAAGAGGGCAGTAGAGGTGTCCTTGAGCAGTGAAACCAGGTTTTGCCTATCCATATCTGTAGCTGTTGGATAAGTAATCGAGTTGAAAGGAAGAAGGCAGGCTTGGGAGATGAGTATTGAAACCGGTGATGATGGAAGGGAGAATGGAGGTTCCTGGGGACGGTGATCAGCTCTCTGAGCTGTTGGAGAGATCCCAGTATTGCAGATGATACACTGGAATGAAACCATGGAGAGGGGAAGGATGATTGCAGAAATTGTGAGGATTTTGATAAAAATTTGCAAATCATCTGTGTTTCAGTTTCTACTTCCAGTATTGTATGAAGGGTGTTAAGAGTTAAAATGATAGAGTGGGAAGCAGGACGAACCAGTTATCTAAGTTTTGACTGTATTTAGCTTTATACAGAGTACAGTCTCACTGGATGTCAAGCTTATTTTTATTAACAAAGATTTGTGAAGACCTTCCTGTATTGTGACAAATTCTTTGCAAGGCATTGTTGGAGATGCAAAGCTGTATTATGAAAATAAATTGGTTATTCTAGGTAATTTGAAAGATAAATTTAAAATGTGCAAGTTCTTTCTTTTTCTTTATTGAAATACTCTTAGGAAGCTATTCCCTTATAGATTTTTCTTGTGAATATATAGGTAGATTCTACACGTGCAGCATCATGGTACATTCATGATTGTTAAAACATGAACGGGCTTATGGAAATAACTTGAGAGATAAATCTAAAGTAAAAGCATTTTACTAGTAGGCTACTTGGCTTTTGCTATTTTATGTGTCATAACAATTGCACATTCACTTTGTGAAACTGGGAAATTGTGAGAGATTCTGTGGCTTATTATCTTAGCTTATTTATGAATAAGACATTAAAAACATTACATATAACATAGTTCATATTTATGATCCGTATAGCTTAATCTGTGACCTTTGGCAGCAGCATTAAGAAACAGTGGGCACCTGGTGGAATGCGCAGTACTTGGAATGAAACTGTATGTTTGACTTCCGGCTCCTTTCATAACCAGCTGTGTGATTTTTGGTAAGTTCTTTAACTCAGCCTCAGTTTCTGCGTTTGTACACTGGGAACATTAGTAGTTTCCAGATTACTTTCATACTCATGACCTGACCTGATTCTCATAATGCTACTTCTTCACTTGACAGATAAGAAAATTGCAGGCCCAGAGTGAAAGTCTTGCTTAGGGTCATTCATCTAATTTTTCACGGAGACCAGACATACACTCCTGCTTTATTTTATGTACCCTCATTCCACTGTTTTTCCATAGTGCCTTTCTTTTGGTGATTAATTTCAAATCCTTTCTGTTTAAACCTTATGCCAGGAAAATTATTATATAACTGAAATAGCTTAGCTCATAAAAATCACTGTTAAGGCAAGCCTTTAATTCTAAAGACTTTATATCAATATATCTTTATATCTTGAGAGTTCACATTGCAGGACTACCATTTCTTTGGATATGTTAAAGTCTTTATAGTTGCCGTGAACGTGGTTTATTTTGAATTAAAGAAAAAATTTCCAGGATGGGGGACTGAGGCTAAAGAAAACTTTTTTACATGTTGACTTTACATCCATAGATCTTGTCCAGTGCTACATTACTTATCATTTATTTATTATTTATTTGTTATTTATTTATTTGTTATTTTATTTTTTTATTACTTATCATTTATTAATTCACTTGGCTTTGTTATGTCAACATTCATATTATCTAAGGGGCTGGGGATTTAGCTCAGCGGCAAAGCGCCTGACCGGCAAGCGCAAGGTTGTGAGTTCAGTTCCCGGTACCGGAGAAAAAACAAAAAAAAAACAAACAAACATTCATATTATCTAGTAGCAATTTTTTTCCTCTTTTCAGTGTTTTAACCTATTGTTTCTTTTTCTTATTTTATGTTGTTGACCAGAACGTCTAGAAATTGTTGAATAGTACTTATAGTACTATGCATTTTCTTATTTCTGAATTTTTGATGTTACCCTGTCAATGTTGCTGAAAATTTTGTTAAAGGGGTATCTATTCATAAACTGAACAGCTCTGTGTTTTAAAAAGTACCAATAAATACTGAATTTAAAGTATATCTTTATATCTTGAGTACTCGAAGTCTGTGACTTACTTGCTATTTCTCTTATAAATAATCTGTCAGAAGTAAACCTGATAAGTAAAAGTCCAGCATATTTTCTTTACCAGAGACTTTTAAACTATGTTGTAACCATTATGTCTGTTTCTTTCGTGCTGCTTATTTGTCTTTCCTTTTGTCCTCTGTCGTAGAACCTCTAACATGCAGGCCCCTGGCTCTCAGTCTGTGCACCTGAGTGAGTGGCAGAGGAACTACTTTGCAATCACATCTGGCACGTGTACACCAGGACAGAAGGCAGATGCGTACCGTGCTCAGATACTGCGTGTTCAGTATGCCTGTGCGAACGCCGAGATCTCCCAGGTCTGTGCTACCACACTGTTCAAAAGGTATGCAGAGAAATACTCCGCAATTGTTGATTCTGACAATGTGGAAACTGGCTTGAATAACTATGCAGAAAACATTTTAGCTTTGACAAGATCTCAACAAACTGACAGTAATAAGTGGCAGTCTGGGTTGTCAAGAAACAGTGTTTTCAAGATGAATACCGTACAGAAGATGATGCAAGCTGGCAGAAACTTCAAGGACTCTCTGCTGGGACCTGTAGATGCATCAGTAGTGATCCGTCAGGAGGCCCCTGTCTTTGATCTTCCTGACTCCGGTGTTCCTGGGCGTGCTGGTGCTGGTGACCTATGCCCCGGCTCAGTTCCTGGCACAGATAGGACCCAAGACATTCCAGGCAGCAACCCTTGGAGGTGCCCTCAGAGTATCCAGCCACCCATGGTGCCTACCAGTGCTGAGACTTGTCCCCTGTCCTCTTCTTCAGGTGAGCCAGCCACAGCCAAATTCCACGCCACCCCATTATTTGGACATGTCACAAAGGAAAGTCATAGCTCTCCTAAGGCCAGCGCAGGACTGCAGATGTTCTCGTCTAACTGCTCTCCCTTTCCTTCTGGCTGTGAAAACCCACGGGCAAGGAAGGCTTTTTATAGTTCTGTCACCATCGATGCTCTTTCCAATCCAGTACTAAATAAGGCTTTTAGTAAAACAGAAGATAATGACCCACGGGAGGAGAGCAGTGTGCCTACTTTTAAAACTGCAAAGGAACAGTTATGGGTAGACCAGCAAAAAAAGGGCCACCAACCCCAGCGTGCACAAGGGTCCTCATATGGGGGCGTGAAAAAGTCTCTGGGAGCTGGGCGATCTCGTGGGATATTTGGGAAGTTTGTTCCTCCCGTACCTAAACAAGACGGCGCAGAGCAGAATGGAGGCATGCAGTATAAGCCTCACGGAGCAGCGCCGACAGAACCAGCCCATCCTGTTGATGAGCGGCTGAAGAACTTGGAGCCCAAAATGATTGAACTTATTACGAATGAGATTATGGATCATGGGCCTCCAGTACACTGGGAAGATATTGCAGGAGTAGACTTCGCAAAAACCACGATAAAGGAAATAGTTGTGTGGCCCATGATGAGGCCGGACATCTTCACTGGGTTACGGGGACCCCCTAAAGGAATTCTGCTCTTTGGTCCCCCAGGGACTGGTAAAACTCTCATTGGCAAGTGCATCGCCAGTCAGTCTGGGGCGACGTTCTTCAGCATCTCGGCTTCGTCCTTGACCTCTAAGTGGGTGGGAGAGGGGGAGAAGATGGTCCGTGCGTTGTTTGCTGTTGCAAGGTGTCAACAACCAGCTGTGATATTCATCGATGAAATTGACTCCCTGTTGTCTCAGCGAGGAGAAGGTGAACACGAATCCTCTAGGAGGATAAAAACAGAATTTTTAGTTCAGTTAGATGGAGCAACCACGTCTTCTGAAGACCGAATTCTAGTGGTGGGAGCCACAAATCGGCCTCAGGAGATTGATGAGGCTGCGCGGAGAAGGTTGGTAAAGAGACTGTACATTCCGCTCCCGGAAGCCTCAGCCAGGAAACAAATAGTGACAAATCTGATGTCCAAGGAGCAGTGTGACCTCAGTGAGGAGGAGATCCTTCAGGTTGTCCAGCGGTCTGATGGCTTCTCAGGGGCAGACATGACCCAGCTGTGCAGGGAGGCGTCCCTCGGTCCCATCCGCAGTTTACAGACTGCTGACATTGCCACCATAACTCCAGATCAAGTTCGTCCCATATCTTACGTTGACTTTGAAAATGCTTTTAGAACTGTGCGGCCTAGTGTATCTTCAAAAGACTTAGAGCTGTATGAAGAGTGGAACAGAGCATTTGGTTGTGGAAAGTGAACAGGACACTGCAAAGTAAAAGATGGCATCGTTTTAGCATTGGCTGGTTTACTTTTAGTATAGGAACCGGTGTGGGGAATTGCACTGCTTTGGAACATGCTGTAAGTTCATCAAATAAGGATAGCAATAGGTCAGAGTTTACAACTGGGCGGCTTTGCCTATGTGGAATGCTTTGTTTGCCTTCCAATTAGTATTTGGTTATAAATTATTTAAACAGAATGAGGATGAACTTTGTGTTTTGTTTCTAAGAAGTCTTTTGAAGGTGAATAGTGAACTCGAAACTTCAATCTGAAGATTACGTTTATTTACGAGGCTGTATTTGATTTCTAGATTTTTATTGAAGAAAGTTCTTCTGAAGGCCACATGGCTCTTCATGTCGGCTGATGTAGTGGTTTCCCTTTGAAACTGCGTAGCTCACGCTTTGTTTAGGTAGATTTAAGATTTCACCAAAAGCTAGAAGGAAAGTGACAGTTGTTACTTTCTTTGGCAGGTTTGTTACCTATTTTATGATTTTCTTTTCTTACCAAGACTAATAGAAACGTGCTCAGAATTAGCAAGATGTAATCTAGTATTAGAGACACATCCACAGAACCGAAACGTTAGGAATGTTGTATTTTTTCAGAGGACCTATGATGTTTAACATTAATAATTTATTTCAAACTACTTCACCATCTGTCATATTACTGTCTTTTTAAAATTAATGTTTTCAGGTTTTTATAATGGGTCATTTGGTTTTATAAATAATATATGTTCATTGTAGAAACTTTAGAAAATAGAAATAAAAAGAATAAAAATCACTGTTAGTTATAGTACCCCTTTGGGGGACATGATATTTCAGCATGGATTCTGTTAGAAGCTTTTTTTTTTATTTAATTAGAAGAATGATTGTACTATGCATCCTCTTTTGTCACCTACTGTTTTTCATTAAAGTACATTATCGTTTTCCACATTCATAGACATCTACGAGAATCTTCCTTTATATGGTCGCCTAGGAATCCATTGTATGGGGTAAACTATAATAATCAGTTCAGTCTTCTGTTAGAGGGCATTTAGGGCAGGACATTAGGCTGTCTTTGTTTATTGTAAACAGAGATATGTTGAATGCCAGGTAGCAATCTTTTAAAAAAAATACGGGATGGGGAGGTAGCTCAGTGATAGAGCTCTTGCCTTGCATGCACAAGGCCCTGGATTTGGTCCCCAGCACCACCCACACACAAGATAAAAATACATAGTATATATATGAATTTCTTGAGTAAAATGCATGGAGTATTTCTTGGAGAATTTCTTGACTCTGCATGTGTTTGAATTTTTGGCAAGTGTTCTGAGTTTTCTGTTTTTTGAGACAGGGTCTTGCTATGCAGTTCGGGCTGGCCTTGAGCTCACCTTGTAGCCCAGGCTGGTCTCAGACTTGCAAGGATCCTCCTGCCTCAGCATCCCAAGTGCTAGGATTACAGGTGTGTGCCACCATACCCAGCTGTTCTGAGTTTTCCTTTGGAGAAATGGTTCCTGTTCAGAGTTTCCGTCTGCAGTGAATCAGAGGGGTTGTCTGTCTGTGCCACAAAGGCACCGAGGAGTAGGCAGTTTTTTTGTTCATGTTCTTCTGCATTCATTTACGCAAACTCAAATGCCAGCTGGTATTCCACGCTGAAGGTAAGCAGTGAAGCATACACACAGACATTCCCGGCTTCAGGGAAGCCACATTCCAGTTGTAGTATTTTCTCTTGTGAACCTGCAACTTGAAATGGAAGTTAAGGCACTTTTAGCTGGTGACTTTAGACAGTTTATTTCTGGGGGTATGTAGTTTAAATTTTTATTCTTCTGCCGCTGCCTTCTATTTTTATACATTTAAAAGGCTTTATTGTTTCAACTTTTACTGTTGCCATTTAATACACAATTACCTTTTTTAGAGTTTGGATGTCAGATTTCTTTTTAACATCTTAAGACGTAGTAGTCAATGCTTTGTCCTTTTCTGTTTTTGTATTAAAACACTGTGTTATGGTTTGTGTGTAGCTGTCCCCTCAATGCACTTTTAGATGGGGCTTTTTTGGAGGCAGCTGTATTTAGATTGTGTGACTGATTCATGGTGCAATGCTGGGATTAAGGGTGTTGGCATTAAGGGTGGGTGATTGCTGGATCAGCCCACTGATTGGATGGGTACCACCCTAGTCCCCACAGTCTGGATAAGATAAAAGGGGCAGAAAGAGGCTTGCGTCTCACCTTCCCTTGCTTGCTTTTGCTGTCTTCTGCAGCCATGAACTATTTCTCCTCAGGAATGCCCCTCTGCCAAGCCACCCTGCCTTGGACTCAGCCAATTATGGACTATAACCTTTACACACTGTGAGCTAAATAAACCTTTCCCCCTTTCACATTGGTGTCGGGTATTTTGTCTCAGTGAGGAGAGAAAAGTAACTAGAACATACTATAACCTTGGAATCTTAGGTATGGATGTCAAGGAATTCTTAGGTTTTCTTCACTGGTATTTCTTTATAGGCTGCTTCCACTTCCTGGGGTCTTACAGTTGCTATAGTAGTTAGATTTTGCAGCAGTTGCCCGCTAGGTATTGGGATTTATTTAACTCTGTAACTCAGTCTTTTTAACAGTTTTTGTTTTTGTTTTTTTTGGTACTGGGTATCGATCTCAGGACCTTGAGCTTGCCAGGCAGGCACTGTGCCACTGAGCTATATCCCTAGTCCCCCCCACACACCTTTTTTTTTTTAAAAGATGGACTCACCATGTAGTCCAGGCTGGCCTTGAGCTCACTACTTAGCTCAGGCTGGCCTGAAACTTGTGATCCTCCTGCCCCACTGCAACTCAGTCTTAATGTTGTTTTTAAAACTGCGATTTCTGCCAGTCCTGACTTTGGTCTCCTCTGATCACCAATGGGCGACTTCTGTTTGTGGAACTTAGTACAGATTGTGTCTAAGAGAAAAAAGTCTTGTTGGTTCTCTGCGTTGTGGATCGTGTGTCTGGTTAGTTTGTGAAATGGGTCTTCTGGGGCTGCTAGTCTACTGAGGAGTAATCTATCCTAGAAAGACTCTGGCAGGGAGTGTTTTCACAGCTGTAAAGAAAGTCCAAGCTAGGAAAACTTGACTGTTGCTTCTACCCAACCTCACAGAGCAACACTGTTTCTTGGTCTCCAAGGCAGCTGAGTCGGCAGCTTTAACTTGAGATTTCCACTGTAGGATCCTAAAGCCATTGTTTGAGAGAAGTGGATACTAACCTGAATTTTAAGGTCTTTCAGAGTTATGTTTCCTTTATAAAAATACACTTTATTCCCCCACATGTCAGTTGTGGTGTTGTGCTTAAAATTTTGGTAGGAATATGGTAACATCCAAATTTATAATGTTGGGCATTCATTTATTTAAACCCTCAGGAAGGGTTTATTTTATACTTAGAAATGATACATTATCTAATTATTTTAAATTTTTCTTATTTTATTCCATATTGAAAAATTTCGACAAATAAAAAATGGGGTACCATGTGATGTTTTCATGTATATAATTTCATTGTATATACATTGTTCAGTGTTTAAATTGGGTTAAACATGTCTGTATCACATGTCATCTGTCATCTCTTCAAAGTGAAAATAGCAGTATTTTGTGTGTGTTGCTGAGGATTGACATGGTGCCTTGGTACTAAGCTATATATGTCCTCAGCTCTTTTTATCTTTAATTTTGTATTCTTGAACTTGAAATCCTTATGCCTCAGCTTCCCAGTTGCTGGGATTATAGGAATATACCACCACACCTGGCTTCTGCCCGCTTTTTGAGATGTATAGTACATAATTGTCCTGTAATCACCCTGCTAGTATATTCAGAGCTTTTACTCCTATCTAACTATAACCCGTTGATTACCCTCCACTTTTTTACCCTCCCCAGACTCTGGCATCCTCCACTTTTCTCTCAATATCTATGACACGAGTTTTTATATGTTGCCCAGATGAGGGAGATCATGGGTATTTGTGTTCAAGGCCTGGTTTGTTTCATTCAATATAATATCTCTAGTTCTATTCAGGTTGTTGCAAAAGGCAGGATTTGGTTCTTTTTTGTGGCTGAGTAGGGTTGTGTGTGTGTATGCCCCACCTTTCCTCATTGGTTAGCGGACTCCTGAGTTGACTGCATGTCTTTGCAGTTGTGAATAGCGCTGCAGTGAGCGTGGGACCTGCTGATGTCTCTTCCACATACTGATTTCATTTCCTTTGGGCGCATACCCAGGGCGGCACAGCTGCGTTGTACAGCCGTTTTATTTTCACTTTGTTGAGGAACCTCCATACTGTTTTCATAATGGCTGTGTTTCCATTCCCACCAATATGCCTGCCAGGCTTCTGTTCTCTGCCTCGAGGCCAGCACTTAAATCTTTTGTCTTTTGATAGCCACCATTCTGACTAGAGGGAGATGATACCTCATTGTTGTGACTTGTTCTTCCTGAGGACTAAGGATGTGGGGCACTTTCTCATACAACTGTTGCCCATTTGCATGTCTTCTTTTAAGAAATGTCATCTAGGTTATTGTCTATTAAGTATTTGGTTTGTTTTGGTTTTTGGCTGTGGAGGCTTTTGAGTTCCATATCTATTCTGGATCTGAACCCCTTGTCAGATGTATTGTTTGCAGATATTTTCTCTTGTTCAATAAGTTATCTGTTTACTCTGATGATTGTTTCATTTGCTATTCACAAGCTTTTTAATTTGAAGTAATCCCATTTGTCTATTTTTGATTACTGTGCCTTTGGGGTCTTATAAAAAAAATCCTTGCCCATTCCAATGACCTGCAGCATGTATCCTATGCTTTCTCTTAATAGTTTTATAATTTCGGGTTTTTAAGTCTTTAAGCCATTTTGAATTGATTTTTATAGTTGGTAGGAGTCAGAGGGCCTAGTTTTGTTCTTCAAGTGAATACCCAGTTTTCTCAGTATTATTTATTAAAAAGGTTGTTCTTTCTCCTTTGCATGTTTTTAGCACCTCTATTGAAAATCAGTTGGTTCTGGTTGTATAGCGTTATTTTAAGGCACTTAATTCTGTTCCCTCATCTGTATCTTTTTATGCTGTTTTAATTACCATAGCTTCATATTGTGTTTTTATGTGAGGTATGTGATAACTCCAGCTTTGTGTTTTTCTCAGGATGTCTTTGATTGTTAGGGTCTTTTGTGCTTCCGTGCAGCTTCTATAATTGTTACTTAGATAGAATTGAATTTTGAGGTTGTGTTTCTGTGTGTATCTTAGGATTTTTTTCTTCTGGTTCTGTGAAGAATGTCACTGGTATTTTGATTGGGATTGTATTGAGTGTGTAAATAGCTTTGTGAAGTATGGCTATTTTAACAATATTAATTCTTGCAATCCACAAATGAGGGAAATCTTTTTCTTTTTGTGTGTGTTTCTTCCATCAGAGTTTTGTAATTTTCATTGTAGAAGTATTTTATTTCCTTGGTGAAATTTTTTCCTAAGTGTGTTTCTTTTTTTCTTGTTGTTGATATTTTTGGTAGCTATTGTGAATGGGATTTTTTTTCATGATTTCTTTCTCAATAGTCTCATTATTGGTATATAAAAATATTAAGAGTTTTGTTTTTTACTTTTGTTCTTTGCAGTACTGGGCCCTTGAACCTAGGGCCTGATATATGCTAGGCTAGCCATAACCCATTACTGTATATTGATTTTGTATCCTGCAACTTCACTGAATTTTAAGTTCTAGTGGTCTTTTAGCAGAGTGTTTAGGTTTCTGTAGGTATAAAATGATGCTGTCATGCAAATGGAACGTTTGACCTCTTCCCTTCCTATTTATATGCTTTTTATTTCTTTTTCTTGCCTAATTGCTCTGGTTAAGACTTCAGTACAGTACTGTGTTGAGTAAGAGTGATAAGAATGGGCATCCTTATCTTGTTCCAGATCTTAGAGGAAAACTTTCAGCTTTTCCCCATTTACTGTGCCCTTGGCTGAGAGGCCAATATCCTTTATTGTATT